CATAAGACATATAAAATATTTATAGCAAAAATATATATATGAGCTAAATATATATTATTCAATATAATAAACTAGTATATAATAAAAAAAACAAAAGAATCAAAAAATACAATAAATATAACAATGAAAAATTATTACTACACATACATATATATCCATATAGCCTAATACATTTATATGAAGGTTAATATAAATAAATATGGTATTATAATCGTAAATCCCCTAAATATAAAATATATACAATTCATCATATTATTCAAAACATATACCATACCTAATCAAGATAATATCAATACAAGATCAAATATAAAAAGGAAATACCACAAAAACCACAAATTACCTGAAAAGATAATAATACCTCAATAATAATATCCTAATAAGAAGTAAATGATATATTTTTCAGATCCAAAGGCGTAATACGCTAGATGCGCGTTCTCAGACACATATATAATCACACTACACACACACACCACACACACACACACAACATAAAAATAGACAGGGAGTAAAATTATATACAATTCAATTACTGGACATAGTTATGAATATACATTAACCTAAATAATATTAGGAATATTTATAAATCATTATATCATATAATATATTAACTACTATATAAATATACTACATGGGCAATTCTATGGTGATGGATATTACATTTAGAGGGGTTGGTCCCTTGTTACTAGAGTATTACCACTTTGCACTTGATACTGTGTTATAGTCTTGCTTATTCAGCTGGCATTCTCTTGCCAAGAAGAAATATCCTTAGCTTGACATACATGGTTATCAGAAAACTACAAATTCCAGTTATATATTACATAGCTCTGTGTGAAAGACATTATGTGATGTATGTTACAGTTTGTCCATTGGCACAGTTCTTAAATTCAGTAAATCTGAGATATCATTTTTGAGTTTTTTCTTTTCAAATAATCTTTCAAGCTTCTATACTTTTCAAATTGATGGTACTAGCTTATTAAATCAAGTGAAAATGAGCCAGAAAGTAAGTTAAGGAGGCCGTCGCAACCGAGAACGAACTTCGTTAATTATGATTGGATTTTCGTGATTTTTTAATGTTATATATACATATACTACGATTTTCATACCATTTGGATAATAAACAATGAAATTATTAAAAAAAACAACAAGTTTTTGGAAATAAAAAAAAAGATATATAATTCACTTATCCATTGACCAAACTTGTTAAAAAAATTACCTCGTATAGTCTATAGCAATACCTATAAAAGTTATTGATTAGATTTTGAAATATCCTCTTAGTTTAGTGTAAAGATTTTTTTTTTCTAATGTCCATTCATACCTATATAAAATATGATAAATCGACTTTCATCCCCTAAAATGAAAAACACTTTCATCGCAAATTTATTCTGCTTTCAAATGATCCAAACCCCATTAAAATCGCGTGAGTAGTTATGGAGAAACAACCAAGAATGTCAACAAAGGTGTAGTTTTGAGGATACTTCTCGCTTTTTTTTTTTTTTTTAGAATTCTGATCTCTGCATCAATCTTGATGCATTCTATGGTATTCACATGGTATTCTGAAGTGTAGTTTTTACCTGGTTCCCCCTTTTGCAAGTTACCAATGGCAATAACTGCACGTGACTCTAGAAGTAGCCTGTGGCATCACAGGCTTCGCAGTGCCTCCTGAGGCATTTCATACAAATAAACAACTGTTGCAGCTGTGATTGAGATGTATTTATCATCATAGTATGTTTATTAGTTACAGGAATAACATCTATCATTAGTAGTGTCCTCTTAGTGTGTGATGAGAGTGAATCACACAGTATGTATCGGCACAACTGTGGGATGGTGCCAAGTCCAAGGTCACGCCGAGGCAGTACGGCCTCTCTCTTTCTCTCTCGTGGATGTCAGCTGATTCAGAAGAGTTGCCAGCTAGCTACCAGAGACTACCAAATAAATAGAAAAAAATCCAGAAAATCTAATTTGTCGAGTATATTAGCTCGGACGCGACAAAGTAAACATCGTAGCCAGAGGTGGGGGGGGTCAGAGGGTTAGTCGTAACTCCTTTATTTTTACATATTTAGCAGAAATATTACATTACATGATTGCCAAAGCCGACTAGATTACAGGAGATTTTTTCAATTTTTCAGGTATTTAAAAAAATATTCGTCGAAAATTAATTTGATGGCCCTCTTATATTTAGAAGTTTTGCAATACTAAAATTACTCTAAAGGCTTGAAAACATGTAATATATATTTGAAGGCACACTCATGAAAAAAAATTATGGGGCTAATTCAGAATAACTTCTTTCTGGAAAGCTGGGGGTCTTCTGAATAAATTCCCACCATATATAGAATAAGTTAATGATTTTTATTTTTTCCCCTCATGTCCGTACTGCTATGGAATTGCCCACATATATACACATACATATACACAGGTGTGTTCTTTCTCTTCCCTCCTTTTCACCTTCCTCCTAATCCTTTTTTCCTTGATCTTGAGGGACAATTCTTTATCCATTTCTCATTCTGCCCATGTTCCTTCCCAGCTACTATGACCAGAAGAGACAGGCGGCCAAGAAGGAGCAGAAGACCATCAGCGCATCGGCCAAGGCGTTGCAGTCAGCCGAAAAGAAGACACGCCAGACCCTCAAGGAAGTAGCAGCCATTACCAACATAAACAAAGCCCGGAAGGTTCATTGGTTTGAAAAGTTCCTGTGGTTCATCTCTTCAGAAAATTATCTGGGTTAGACAACTATGAGTTACATTTTTAGCAATATTTATTTTCTTATTTAATATGTTACTATTATTTTGGGCTCCCTTGGTGGATGTTATGTCAAGTGAATATTTGTGGAGTTTTTAGATTGCAGGATATGTTGATTTACTTGTGTTGATATACTGTGTTATTTTGCCATTTTTAGGTTATCTTGACTTAACTTTGGAAGTTATCATAAATGCAATTATCTGTTGTTACAGTACAAAAAGCAATCATGATAAAAATAGTGAGTGCTGGATAACAAAAATACAGTTAATACTTTTTGTCTGACAATGTTTATTAGATTGCATTAAAATATCCAATCAGTGGAATTTTCCAACTATAAACTATTATCAATTTAGCATATGTTAAGTTGATCAGAATCTTGGAAAGTGAAGTGACAGTCAGAATGTTGGAACTATACATTTCCAGAATTAGCATTTAAGTTTCATATTCTAATAAAAAAAGTTCAATAACTTCAGTGATTGCTGGTCGAGACATGCAGATGAATGAAATGGTTGTTAAGCGACATCTAAAGCCTCGTGATGTCTACGTCCACGCTGACCTCCATGGAGCTGCCAGTGTGGTGATCAAAAACCCCAGTGGCAAGGAGCCCCCCCCAAAAACCCTTCATGAAGCTGGAATCATGGCCCTCTGTTATAGGTGTGAGACTTATGTGTGCATGCGTGCAAGTGAAATTTCATCATCATCATCATCAAAGGGGCTGATGCTGACGGGGGCACATAGCCATGGGGATCCCTCATGGTGAGCCACCAGGCATGCCCTCCTCCATGCAGGATTGTCTCGTAAATAGACAACCTGATGGGCAGGGTCATCCACAGGGAAACAAGCTTGGTGCCTATATAGCCTGAGTTGGCGGTCACAGATTATGCAAGTAGCAGGTCCCGTGCCAGTCTCATGGTGGAGTCGTCGGTTGGACACATGGTCCTGCCAACTGTACCCCATGATCTGGCATGGGGACTAGTTACAAAAGGCATAGAGATGTGACTCCAAGGCACTAGATAGTGTCCAGGTTTCTCTATCATAGAGCAAAACTGGAAGTATCAAGGCCTTAAAGACATGTAACTTAGTCCTTCTGTATAAGTACCGGCACCTCCAAATATTCTTGTTGACTGAGTTCATGGCCCCTGCTGCTAGACCAGTCCATCTACTGACTTCCTGGTCGGACAGGCCAGAGACATGAACTGCACTACCGATGTATTAAAAACATTTTGTGACTTCAACCTCCTCGCCACAATCATGTATCGACTTAACAGGTTCTAACAGGCCCCCAAAATCCTGGATCTTGGTTTTAGTCCAGGAGACCTGCAAGCCCAAGGGCTTTGCCTCATTGCTAAATGCATCAAGAGCTGCTACCAGAGATTTCAGAGACTCTGATAGAATTGCAACATTGTCGGCAAGTCAAGATCATAGACCTTAATATTGCCCAGTGTTGCTCCACCCTAACTTTGGAAAGTAGCTCTGCCCATTATCCAGTCCATGCAACTGTTGAAAAGTGTTGGTGCAAGGATGCAGCCTTGCCTCACTCCTGAGTTAACAGGAAAGGATCTCGACAGGCCACCACCACACTTTACAGCACTTTCAGTACCATTATATAGACTTGCTATTAATCCAATAATCTGTGTTGGAATTCTCCAAAGTCTCAGGATCTCCCATGATGATTCATGATGCTCCAAATCAAATGCCTTCTTGAGGTCGATGTTGGCTGCGAGCAGCCTATGACTAAACTCATAATGATGTTATACAATGACTCGAAGTGCTACAATACAGTTTGTCTATTGTGGACCTGCCAGTTGTGAAACCAGATTGCTTCAGTCTTTGGTGCCTTAGCAGGTGGTTGTGGATCCATTTCAGAAGAATTTGAGCAAAAACCTTGCCTGGTATACTGGGCAATGTGGTGTCATGGTAGTTGCTACAGTCCCAATGATCCCCTTTCCCATTCCAGAGAGGTATGACCTAGCCCCTCAACAGGTCAGGGGGAATGGAGCCAGACTGCCAGATGGCAGCCAGGACAGCATGCAAGCCCTGTGCAATAGGCTCACCCCCAGCCTTTAGCATTTCATCAGGGATATCACAGATGTGTGCGGCTTTCCCACCCTTCAGCTTAGAGATCATCTCCCTAAACTCAGTCAGGGTATGAGGATCTTCACTGATAGGTGGGTCAGGCACAGGGATTGCAACATTCCTTGCATCTAGACCAATGTTTTCCAACCTTTTTTATGCCCACACCCCTAAGATAATTTTACAGTGCCCTCACACCCCATTTGAATTTATAGCTTATTTAAGGTAAAAGAGGTGAATGTATGCAACATCTGATCAACAAAAGAAAGTATTCTTTTTCATTTTCTAATAATATATTTAAAAAAATCAAACATATGGACAAGAAAACCTGTCCCAGATTATCTGAATAAACCCTTTAAGAAATAATCACTTGAAATATCTTCATATAAAAATGAAAGAACTAACTTTAAAATGTTTATGTAAATGAATTTTCAGTTCAATGGCTCTTTTCTTCCTGTTTCCTGATTATGAGTAATTAATAGATTAAATGCCTGTCTTTAAGATGGACACTTCTTGGAATGCTATCTCACACCCCTGGGGGCTGCGAGAACCCCTGGTTGGGAAACCCTGATCTAGACTAACTGCTGGGGGTATACCTGATACAATTGCTCATAATACTCAGCCCAACGTTCACGAGCCCCAACATGATCTGAGATGATCTGTCCATCCACTGAGTGGACTGCAGACATCTGTGAGGAGGGATTGGGGTTCAGTTTTCTCATAGCTTGGTAGGCAGGACGAAGGTCATTTACAAGGAAATGGCTTTCTGCCTCCTCGGCAAGATTCATGGTGAACTGTTTCTTATCCTTTCTTAGCAGAGTTCAAGCCCTGTGCACCAAGGAATGGCGCAAATCACGATCGCTGTTCAGATGAGCCATGCAACACGCATCTGAGGCCTCCAACATCTCCAGTGTGATAAAATTCTGCCTTGTTCTAAGGCATCCACCAATGGACTCGTGGGCAACATCAAATGTTTCACTCTTAAAGGAATCCCAAAGGGCTACTGGGTCTGTCAGGTTTTCAAGCACTGTTAACTGATCAGAGATTGCTGCCGTGAACCTATGCGCACACTCCTCTTCCCCTAATCTGTCCAGTTGAAACACCCTAGAGTGGCCACTGGAGAGATGGGGGGGATCTGAAGTGAACTCGCAGGGTCACTGCAGCCAAAGTATGGTCATTGCCACAAAACTCGTCACTCCTGTAAACCCTGCAGTTCTGAAGGATCCTCCAGCAAGAGCTAACAAGGATATGGTTGATCTCCTTGGCCACAATACCTGTATTGCTGTACTATGTCCAGTGATATGGATTGGAATGCTGATACCAGGAGCTAGAAATCCTCATTCTCTGTGACCTAGCAAAGTCCTGGAGAAGGAGGCTGTTCTCGCTCCCGAGATCAGCTCCTGAGCCATGAGTACCGACAGGCATCTCGTAGCCAGCTCGATCACAGCCGGATAGCGCTTTGAAGTCACCCAGTACAGTGCGAATATCTCATGTGGGGCATTTGACTACCACAGATGTGATTTTGGCATAGAATGCATCTTTCACATTGAGTTTACATACATTGGTAAGAGCGTACACAGCAATAAGATACACAAAGCCAAAAGCATGCTTCACTCCCAATGACATAATACGTTCATCAACTGGAGAGACCTCTTCTGCCGAAGGTTGAAGTCGGCTGGAGATGGCTATGGCTACTGCTTAAAGATGATGACCATCGCCCCGGCTCGACCAGTAATAGGTGTACCCACCCATACTGATCATGTTGTTGCCAGGTCTCCTTACCTCCAAGAGGGCAGCCACCTTGGGCAGTTACTCTGGGCAGACGCCACCTCTGCCACCTCTGCCACCCCTGCCAACCTTGATCCATATAAAAGGGGGGCGGCAAGCCGTGGGGCCGATTGTCTGCCTGTAGAGTTCCCTAGGACTCTGGCCCCACAGGCCTCACAATGGGATGGCGGCTGCCAGAGCGCAGGCTGGACGAGTAGCTCGCATTCCCTCCTGAGCCTCAGCAGTCATCCTCCCAGTGGGACCCACAGCCCCCCTCATTTGCTGAGTGAGATGGGTAGTTCCCCTCTCCCCAGCATCTCTATTTATAAGGTTCACTGCCGTTGAGTTGAACTGGGGGGGAGGAGGGCTGGCAAGGCCCACTTCCCTAGAGCCTCCCATTTACCCCAAGGGGTAATTTGTGTAAGCACTTGTGTGTGTGTGTGTGGATTTTTGGGGGTATGTGTGTGGATGGTTGTGGGCATTGGGATGGTATGGGTGTGGGTGTATATATGAGGGAATTAATGCATCAGATAAGTGAGATATTTTAAAGTATATAGAAAAATTCAGGTGAAATATTCTCCAGGGAAATAAACTATTTCCTTCTTTTATCAAACATTGACCTGCCCCTACCAGCCGTGCATGGGATGAGAAGGTGGTGACATCAGCATGGTGGGTGTGGGGTGACCAGGTGAGCAAGACAGCACAGGCAGGAGAGTACCTCACAACTGGTGCCTTTATGGTCCGTGGAAAGAAGAACTTCCTCCCCCCATCGCACCTTGTATATGGTTTTGGCTTCGTCTTCCGGTTAGAGGAGGGCTCAATAGCAAGGTAAATTTTTTTTTTTGTAAAGCATTCAGTTTTCTTGACTATAATTCCATTCATTCATTTATTATTATATATATATAATTTTTAAAATCTCAGCAAAGAATGCTGTTCATAAAAGAATGAGGAAAAAGAGTAGGGGAAAGGAGAGAAATATATACCAATTTTGATTATATAAAACTTAAGGAAAAAGAGAGGACTTCATCATTGAGATGATCATCATATATTTATATATATAGAAGTTCTGCAATAAGTGTTAATATGGAATCAGTCAGCTCTTTGTTAAGTTATTAATAACAATAGTGACATAGGCTGGTACAGTTAGAGGTATATATATGTAAAGGTAACATTAGTAACTAAGACCAATGCTTGATAATTATGATATATATGTTTATATTACCTCTAAGAAATCTGCTTGTCTGTTTTATAGACATGCTGGTGAGAGGCGTATTAGATCATTGGAAGAGGACTCTGA